CTAGAGAGGTGAGACCTTCGGAGAGGCCGCTCCAAGATATAGTGGGTGAGACCCGTGGGCGAGGCCCGTATGTTGGTAGCAGTGTAGGTGGGAAATGGTAGAGACCTTAGGGTCAATATAGGGGATCGAGGATCTCAGGACGTGTAGAGCCAGAGCGGCAGGTTAGATGGAACAATTTAGATAGCCGAAGTTTCCTTCGGGAGTCGCTGAGAGCGACTGAGCGATTGAGCTTGGGTTCAGTAACCGGTGGGAGTCCGGTAACCCATTTAATGGCAGATTAGTTGGGACCAGGGTGGTCTCGGTTCATCCGAAAGGCAAATAAGAGACAACTAAATCTCCATTCAGGGACGGTAATGATAAGAGAAGTTTGGTGTGGGGCAGCTAGTTGACCGAGGAGTGCTACGCCTCTCACAGCAGGGTTAAATAATCTCAGAGGGAAGGGTTTGACCCTGTTGCGCAGCTCTCGTATGAGTCTAACCGTTGCAGGGATAAATCTTTTACTCGAAGGATTATCTGACCCATTCGCTGGGATGGGTTTTCAGCATCAGGATATAGTAAGAGGAAGCATTCAGTGAGTATCAGTGGTAGTGACCAGCACTGGGAGTGGCTGGAGAAGTGGATACATCGAAGGGTATATCCTTCACAGAGATAAAGGAGGGTGTTGTTTATGGAAAGTTGCCTTGGGAAGGCCAATAAATGCGCAAGGAAATGAGGCGGACCCCTAGAATGTTCAGCATAAGTACTCGGGGAGTACCGGAAGGATTGTAGGTTGGGTAAGAGCCGTGTTCTCAGGAGTGTTGGTGATTAGAGTGCTCTCGAGGTCCTTATCTTCGGGGATCGGACCCAACAGGTGATGTATGCATCAGGCAGGAATGTGGTGAGCAGATTGCAGGATAGTTGGTTGCAGCGGACTTCGACGACAAAGTCAAGTTTAAGTGGGGGAGGGTTGTAACGCCCTATTCTGCAAGTATTCGTTTATGGATTTCAGAGCCCGAGGCTAGGGGCGTTTCAGACTTTTATGGGTCTTGAAGTTTTTTATTTGAAAAGTTTTGGGCCGAGGTGTGTCTCTAAAAGCGTAGGGCTTCTCGCCACCTTTTCGTGGATATAAAGATCGTCGGAATCAGACTTAGAATGAAGGAGTTATAGCACTTTGAAGTTATTGACATTAATGGTCCCTTAATGGAATAAGTGGGCAAGAAGGACCATGCATGCAAAGTGGAAGGCGCGTGGGTACGCCCAGCGTAAGCTGGGTTACACCCAACGTATAAAGGGAAATGGTCGCGGGTGCTTTTGGCGTACGCCCAGCGTACAGGATGTACGCCCAGCGTACATCCAGAGTCCAGAAACCCTAAATTTATGGTGTGCCACTATATAAGGAACATTATACCCTCAAGTTTCAACCTCCATTCCACCCTAAAGAGCTGCTACGAAACCCTAAACCCTCTTGAGTGTTCTTAGAGCTTGTAAGGCCATTTTGGAGTGCATTTTAGTGTTCTTAGAGAGGAGTGATCATCTTGGAGTCTCATTGATCAAGGAAGAGCTTTTAGATCCAAGTTCTCCAGCTCATTTACAAACCCCAGAAGGTATAAAGCTTCCAACTTTCCTCATAGAAGCTTAGATCTAGGTTTATGGAGCTTTGGACCTTTTTAGGTCCAAAGAATGGACCTTTTTGGTGCAACTTCGTTTTTTAGCTTGGGGTTGCCACCCTCAGAGCTAAAAGTGTCCCATAAGTAGTAAAGTTTCAATCTTGATGGTCCTAATGAGTCCATGCATGATATCTAGCCCTTGTTATGGAATTATGTTGTCACCTTTTGAGTTTGGGCTTATTTGGTGGGTTGCAAGTCACCAAGTTAGTGACTTTATGGATTAAGACGTGGAAAAGGACCTGGATCTGAGTTGGTAGCCTCTGGAGTGGAGTATTAAGCACTTAATAGGAAAGTGTCTTAACAGGCTCAGCGTACATTCAGGTACGCCCAACGTACACACCATTTGGCTAGTACGCTTCGCGTACATAAGAGTACGCCTAGCGTAATCATCAGTTTGGGTTTGGCATGTGTTGGGCCTCGGCTTGGTTCATGCTTTTGGTCTTTGGGCCTTTTGGGCCATCAGAAGTCAGATATTATGGGCCAAGGATATATTTGGGCTTAGGGTAAGGCCCATTAGATGGATTGGGCCCAGTTTAGCAAATTGGGCCATTAGTGGGCCACTAGTGGGCTTGGGAAGCTTACCTAGTGTTGGGCCTTTTATATTATGGTGTGGGCCTTAGTTATGGACCAAGTTGGCCTAGGGGTAGAATGGTCATTCTACCCTATGAAGGATTATTGTATTGGACTAAGTGTTAATTTGGTGTTGGTAGCTCGGGGAGCCGAAGGAGCAGCAGTTCGGGAATTGGCAGATAGCAGCCAAAGGGATATCAACAAGGTTTCAGCAGTGCAAGGTGAGTCTCCTCACTGTGTGAATGGGTCTAAGGCCACAATTCCGACCCATGTAGTTTATGAGTATGAAGACCCGGGGGATAGCCCTAGACACTATATGCTAGTATGATATTCCAGACCAAGGTCTGATGTCGAGCGGGAGCCCGAGGTATGTTTGTATGATAGATTAAACTTGTTGTCTGTGTGATACCTGTATGTGTCTGGTAGGGAGGTGAGTGTGGGCGAGGTCCCGTATCTCACCATTAGCAAATTGTGGACGAGGTTCCATATCCCATTAGAAGTAGAGCAGGGGCGAGGCCCGAGTGAGGAAATGAGTGAGTATGGGCGGGGGCCCGTATGTCACTGTCAGCAGGAGTGTGGACGGGGTTCCATGACTCACCAGTAGCAGGTCAGGGGCGGGGCCCAAGATAGGCGAGGCCTTAGTACAGGGATACAGTAGAATATGACTAGCTTATGTGTTACGTGTTATATTATATGTTTGGATATGTTTAGCGGGCGGGGCCCGGTGACAGGCGGGGCCTAAGAGAAACCGATTTGTATACCGAGCGGGGCTCGATGCGGGGGCCCGATGTTAGGCAAGTCCGGATGCAGCGGGCGGGGCCCAGTATGCGGTTATGTATGTGGTAGATTGGGGAACTCACTAAGCTTCGTGCTTACGATTTTCAGTTTTGGTTTCAGGTACTTCCGGTAGCGGAAGGAAGAACTCGGGATGATCGCATGGCACACACCAAGAAGTTTTTAGCCTGGGATGTTTACTCTGATATGATATGTTTAGACATGATACTCTGATTAAATATGTTTTGAATGAATGGTTTGACAACTATGGTTTTATTATGGTTTTAAAATGAAATTTTTGTTCATGATTTTTGGGATGTTACAAGATGGGTAATTAACTCTTGAAAATGGGTATGGACTATCTATATTGAAGCTTGAAGATGATTGGTTCATTTTGAATCATGTGAGGTGTAAAGAGGACCGAGGGAATCTAAGGTAGTAGGATGAAGTAGTGGAAAAAAGGAGACAATAGTATTTCAGCATCATCTACGAGGGTGGGGAGCTCATTCGCGCAATTTTGTGCGGCCACCCACGCAACTACCATTATGAGGGCATTTTGGTTATTTCACTCATCATTTACCTTGGGGGTTAGGTTTGACAGCCATCACTTCAAATTTTCCACCATTAAAGCATCTTGGAGGCGTTTTTGGAGAGCTAGAGCTATCATCTTCTCATTCTTCTAGTAATTGCTAATTTCTTGATGTTAAAACACTTGTATGATTATTGTCTTGTTGCCATGAATGGCTAATCTCTTTATTTTGGTTGACTTGGGATAAAACCCTTGGCTATTTGTGGGTTTTTTGAAGGATTCATGTTTGATTGTCATTTATCTCATGTTATTGCTTCTTAGTTTATAATTCTTATGCTTGTTTAGTACTTTGATCATGAGCTTGGTACTTGCATGAACAATTGTTGGTTTACTTATTTGATTTAGCAACGAATCATTGAATTTGCTTAGAACAATGGTTTTATGGTGGTAAAATTTATCTTTAGCTTATGGAACATGACTCCTTTATGGATGTATAAGCATTGACATCCTCTTGGAATAGGGAATTCCTTCATTCTTTAAGGCTAATAAATTTTCTCGAGTTCAATTGTTTCAATTGAGTTCTTAATTTATATATATATATATATATATATATATATATATATATATATATATATATATATATATTAAACTAAGCCGCTCCTTAGTTATGATTAAAAAGGTGTGTTATGGGCTTTTCAACCTCCATACTATATTTGAGGAATTTTGTCATATCATGATTCATAATTGTTATAACTAAATTTGGTTAGATGATAAGCTTACATATTGAATCCTAATGATAAACACACAAATGTTCATTGTGTTGAACTACCTTAGTTGACCAACTTTCTCCAATATTTGAGCATCTCATCATCTTGCTTAATTGTAAACATTTTAATTCTTCAACTCTTTTAGTTTTCAACCAATTCCCCCCCCCCCCCTCATCTCCCATTCATCCCCATTAGTTTAAGTGTAGTTAGTTAGTTTTATTCCACTTGTTCAAATAGATTATTATATTAGTGATTGAATACAACAATTTCCCCATGGATTGATCCCCTTTTTGCTACTATATTATGTTTTATTTGCAAACAAAATAGTGTAATTTGTTTGGTAGACTTGACATCCCGTCAGATCTCATGGTGTTGACTTGGAGCTACGATCGTGGCCTCATGTTGTTTATACCACAAAAGACCACAACCAATCAATTTGGTCTATTTCTCCGTTACCATGATCGTGAACTCATATTGTAGGTACACCAACGATGGTGTGGAAGGAGATGATGGTTAAGTGGAGGGAAACTACGTTGTTTGGTTGGTCCCCTTTTTCCTTATGTCTTTGCCGATAAATTATTCCTTTCTAAATTTTATTAATGTTATTATTATTATTATTATATTTATGCAAAAAAAAAAAATGTTAATAATACGAAGATATATAAATTAAAAGGAAGAAGAAAAAATGTAAAGTATATGAAGAGAAGAGTCGTAGGGAAAAGGGTTGATAGGTGTAAGAATCGAGGATTCATAGTAAACAACGCTTAAACATACGAATACGGTGCAAGCAAGTCAAACACTGGAAGACGAGACGATGAATGAACAAATGCATCTCACCAAAACCCTCCGCATACCTCCAACACACGACTCGACAATTTCCCCCCCCAACTCCCCAACATTACCATCGCCCTTCTCCAACCACTCCCACCACCACCACCTCCTCCTCCTCCTCCTCCTTCTCCGGCTCCGCCCCAGCCACAGCTAAGCAACGCCACGACTCTATTTAATCCTTTAAACCAAGTCAAATTTTTATCATATCCTTTTCTGTATAAATTAAAAGATAAAAAATGCGAAGCGAAGAAGAAACAAACAACACAAGTGGGATGGGGTTGTGTGGTGGGGTGTCACGCAGAATCCCGATGCTCCCTCTCCCTCTCTTCTGTTCTAGTGCTTATGGCCGTTATCTCCTTGGACCTTTTTCTCGGATTCATGTTAATTGAATTCATCTCATTTCTTCGAGACTTGTATCCTATTCCTATTCCTATTCCTCCCCACATGCTTCCTCTTCCTGCTTTTAAGCGTTAACCACACCACCATCGTTTCCATCTATCCGGAACTACTAACAATGGTGAGAAAGAGGGCCGCTTCCGATATGGAACTCCAAACTCCCACCGGAGGACATGAACACCACAGGATGTTACGTCGACCACCCTCAACAAATCCCCTCGACGTTGTCGGTTTTGGAGGATTATCGCCGTCGTCCACCGCCACCTCCGTTGGCCACCAGCACCAGGAAAGGCAAAATTTTAACAATGAGAACAACAGTAATAGTGATGCACCTGCTCATCATCTTCTTTCGGGCGTACCTGTAACTCCAGCTGCCGGTAATATAAACAACATTGGTGGTCATCTCCCCAACTACTCCACTATGACGCTACCATCATCATCTTCCACAAATACGGCTCATGTGATGTCACTTCCGACAAATCGCTCTACCGCCACCTGCTCAACTAATTACATGGATACTATTCCGTCAGCAAACAAAAACCCTCCTCCTCCTCCGTTATGCGTCTTCTCGGGTCTTCCTTTGTTTCCCCCCGACAGAAATTACTACCATTTGTCAAATATAACTAGTACTACTTGTCCGACGCCCACCGGAGTTGTAGCGGCGGGTTCTCTTGCTCCTCCACCATCAACTAATAATACCAACACCACCGGGATGTCTTTCTTGACAGGCGGAGGCGGTGCTAACAACAACACTATCATGCCGGCGGATGACAGCATATCGGCGACGGCGTGGATTGATAGCATCATAAAAGACCTTATTCACAGTTCGACAGACGTCTCCATACCCCATCTGATTCACAACGTACGAGAAATCATCCATCCTTGCAACCCTAATCTCGCCACCCTCCTCGAGTATAGGCTTCGGTCTTTGACAGATCCTCCTCCGAATCTAGTAGATCAGCAATTGACTCATGAACCGGCTGATAATTTTAACGCGAGAGTGATGATGATGAGAGGGAAAGACGCACAAGCCTCATCGTCGACTGTGAGGCAACAGCAGCAGCATTCGCGTAGTACGATTCAGTCTACTATTTCGGCCTCGGGACTTGAAAGTATGTTCCCACTCCCCCTTCCAGATTCACAGCAGCAGTTGAATAATCAATCCCATCTTGATTGGGGTGGAGTAAACAACAGCGGCAATGACGATTACAACGCCGGTGGGGCTCCTCCTCCTCCTCCTCCTCCTGGTCCTGCACTTATGTCTTCCTCCGGCAACCAGGAACAACAGCAGCAGGACTCTCCGCCATCACAACCATCACCACAAGCCGATCAAAACGCAGTAGCTGCGTCGGCACAAGCGGCGGCAATGGTGTTGAGAGAGAAGAAGAGGGAGGAGATGCGGCAGCAGAAAAGAGACGAACAAGGTCTACACCTGCTTACCTTACTCTTACAATGTGCGGAGGCAGTTTCAGCCGACAAATTCGAAGATGCCAACAAGATGCTATTGGAGATCTCGGAGCTATCAACACCCTACGGGACTTCCGCTCAGCGTGTTGCCGCTTACTTCTCAGAAGCCATGTCTGCTAGACTAATGAGCTCTTGCCTTGGGATCTACACCACCCTTCCGCCCAATATAGCAGTTCATCAAGGGCTGAAGAAGATGACATCCGCCTTCCAAGTGTTCAACGGCATCAGCCCTTTCGTCAAGTTCTCACATTTCACAGCCAACCAAGCAATACAAGAAGCATTCGAGAGAGAAGACAGGGTGCACATTATCGACCTCGACATCATGCAAGGCCTGCAATGGCCTGGTCTTTTTCACATATTGGCATCCAGACCCGGCGGTCCACCGTTCGTCCGACTCACCGGATTAGGCAACTCGCTCGACGCGCTGGAAGCCACCGGAAAACGTTTGTCGGACTTTGCAGACAAACTTGGACTCCCGTTTGAGTTCTCGGCGGTGGCTGACAAGGTCGGAAATTTAAACCCAGAAAGGTTGAAGGTGAGCAAGAGGGAGGCCGTCGCCGTTCACTGGTTGCAGCATTCTCTTTATGATGTCACCGGCTCCGACACCAACACTTTATGGTTCCTTCAAAGGTAAAAAAAACTCTGATCCCACTCATTTTCTCTATCTAAACTCAAGGAGAAAGTTGATACGTTGGTGGGTATAAAATCTAAATGATTAATTTGCGTCTCAGATTGGCTCCGAAAGTGGTGACAGTGGTAGAACAGGACCTGAGTCATGCTGGGTCGTTCTTGGGGAGGTTCGTGGAGGCGATTCATTATTACTCGGCGTTGTTTGACTCACTGGGATCAAGCTACGGGGAAGAAAGCGAGGAGAGACACGTGGTGGAACAACAGCTGCTATCGAAGGAGATCAGGAATGTTTTGGCCATTGGAGGTCCTTCAAGAAGTGGTGAACAGAAGTTCAATAACTGGAGGGAGAAGCTGGAGCAATGTGGGTTCAAGGGTATATCTCTCGCCGGAAATGCAGCTGCTCAGGCGACTCTCCTCCTTGGGATGTTCCCGTCGAATGGTTACACTTTGGTGGAGGACAAGGGTACGCTCAAGCTTGGCTGGAAAGACCTATGTTTGCTTACTGCTTCTGCCTGGAGACCTTAATAGGGCCACCTATAAATGGATCGAAACCCCAACCACGCTTGATTTGATTCAATGTGATGGGTGAAAAAAGGAGATGGATCAATCTATTTGGGGTATTATAGGGAAAAAAAAAAAAAGAGAATCAAGCAAGTACAACAATTTTTGAAGGATGGCAGCCTTATGAACACTGTTGTTAATCGAGTTATGTTCATAATCCATTGTTATAAATTTTTGGTTCCTACAATAATACGTCATTCTTATTACTTGCTATATTCTTCCATGCTCTTCATGTTTAATGCCATTAGTGTCGTCTGAAAAAGGGTAATACGGAAGCGATAAAATCAATATGAGCATTATGGAAGACGATGTCTGAATCTGAGACATGTATTATGGATTGTAATCTCTAGGAATTTCTTCAAAGGTCATATACACAAAGAAACGTCTTTTACATGCAGCTATCTGCGTATCTTTATATACGTATTGCCTAAAGGTATGTTGCATGTAAGTTCCTCTTGATTAGTATAGAAATTATGTTTTCGTTTGGCGAATGAAGTGTGATTAATTTGTCTTCTATGAAGACCTTTTCTCATATACTGGCAGTCTTGGTGATTGTATTTTGTCTTGGAATGAACAACTATATTAGATGGTATATCTTAGATTTGGTTGTTTCGCCGAGAACAATGTTTTGGAATTAATACAGCATGCATGGTCTAAAGAACTCTTTCAAACCTTTATTTAGCTGTTTCGTAGAGACCAATGTTTTGGTTACCGATAGGCAATATTTGATGTACATCGGATGACCGGCTTTCTAACTCTTGTTCGATTACATACATGACTTTCGATCTCAATATTGATAATGGAGCCATTGTAACACTCCAAATAATTTTATAATAATATCTATGATAAAAAAAATAATCTTCCAATATAAATACATATTTTTTTTAATGGTAGACAAGTCCAAGTTTTAAGTGAGATTCGAATTCGAGTCTTAGCTAAATTTTAAAATGTCTTATTGCAAATGATTAATTCTATGACACCTTGACGATGAGATAAAAATACATAAATTATCTAAGAAAAAGAATCCTGATGTAATAACGGAAAAGATACCATACCATACCCAAAAAAAAAATTAAAAATTAAACTAAAAATTTTTAAAAATTAAACTAAATAAATTGATAAGTCCTCTCGTTCGTCCAAGACTCTTATGTCTCTTCATTTCACTTCATCGTCCCCTATGTTGTATGTTGTCGAGACATTTTGTTTGGAAAAAACAAAGTAAACATCTATGTGTTTTGTTCACATTTAGATAATTTTATTAATATATAATTAACTAACGAATATGTTAAAAGTGTTCAAATATTCACATTGTGACCGGTTATATTAAGCTACAACTTATTTTCCATATAATTGCATCCAAATGGCAAATTAAAGTGGAAAAATGACTCAAATCTAACGGTGATGCCTGACGGCCAAATTTTAAATGAAAGCAAGGGGGTAATTGCCATTATGGGGAGAAAGAGTATTCCGTGCATCTTTTACTAGACAAGGTTACTAGGCAATGGAATTGTTATTAGAATAGTAAGGGAGCGTTTGTTTCGCAGAATGTTTTTTGAAGGAATGGAATCTGTCAAAAGAATTGGAATTTAAAGGAATTGGAATCTGAATGTACTAGAAGCTAAAATACGTTTGAAGGACAAGGAATGAAATTTGTTTTCTGTTTGGTTTGCTGATTTTACAAAGGAATTGGAAAATAAATTTTATAATATGAGAACAATACCCTTTATATATTTTAATAAACAAGACAAAGTTTTATTTAATTACAACATCTTTTTATTGAACTATACTACAAAATATAAATTAAAAAAATAACTAACCTGCATTTTGTTGAACACTTACAAATAATAAATATATTTTTAAATTGAAACAAAATGATTATATATCCGTCTCTAACAAAAGCACCTTGGAAATCCATAGGTATATTTACTATGAAAAACGGAATCAATTAGACTTGTAAAATGATGTATGAAGCATGAAAACAACCTAATCTGTGAACTTATTTATCAAGTGAGTGGTTGGTAACTATAGCTTTTAAAATAATGTTTTGGACTTGTATCTCATCTTCTCCAATAAAATAATCTTTATTAGTAATAGGAGTAAAAATCAAAAGAAAATCAAAGCTCATACCAGCAAATATAAAAAATACCACATAGGCAATAATACAAACACTTGGTACGCATAGTTAAAAAAGGAGTAGCTGCACTTCCCAAATAATAAATCTAAATCAAAAACCTTACACGTACATAGCATGTAAAGAAAATTGTTCATACTTCACACAAAGAAACTAAAGATGTAGTAAGCAGCACAAATGTTAAGAAATTATGCTATTTTCTATCATTCAAAGATGAATCACAGATTACAAATATATAAAAAAAAATGGTTGAACACAGTTAGTTGCAGAAAAATAGAACATGAGATGTTTACCTGTAAACGAAAGAAGATGATAGATACACCAAAGCAGTAGAAAAATGACGAACCAGAGGTGAAATACGGTAGCACAATGGCAGCACAATAGCTATGATCGATAGATGATTTTTTTTTGACAAATACCGATTGGAGATATATATAATCGATAGAAGAAGGTAATCGTAGAAAATATATGAAAAATCACATAGATGATTTTGTTTTACCAGGATCGCATATATATGGGAGGTTAAAAAAAAGATAAGCTAACAGAATGTGGATTCCTTATACACAGGGAATGAATGGGAAATCTTTCATACACGGAATTAAAAACTAATTATGGAAATCATATTCCATTACTTCTGTAAGCCAAACACGTTTTGTATTGGATTTTAGTTTCCAATTCCTTTCAATTCCTTAGGAATCAAACGACCCCTAACTATTTATTTGTTTTGTTCATATTTAATCAATTTTTCTTTACACGATTGAATATCTAACTTTTTAAAAACTGTTCAAATGTTATCATTTGCAATTAATGTTCATATTTTATGATTAATTAAATTTGTAATATATCTTCTAAAATTTTATGTTACTTCTAATTTATTTTTACTGCATTTTTTATGTATTTTTACGAATAAATTCAATTTTTTGAATCTTTCTATAACTATGAATTTGCCATGGAACAAACAGCTACAAAATTCGTTACGAAAAAATAGTTATGCGATTTGTTACAAAACTATAGCTATGAAATTTGCGATAGAAATATTGTTACATAATTTGCTACGGAAAAATGGCTACGAAATTTACTATGAAATTATGACTATGAGATTTGCTATAGAAAGATGGCCACACAAAATAACATTAAATAAATCCTATAAAGATTATAAACATTTTTAATTAAAAGAGGAAGTTCGAAAGCTATCAAAAACCTCAAGCAAAATAAAACATTGCTTAAAAGTTATACGATGGATAATCACAATGGATACCACAACACTTATTCATCCAACAAGTCTCTAAGTTATTTCAACCCTGATTAATGACATACTCTTTATGTTCGTTACTTCGTGTGACTATCTTTTTTTCTCAATCTGCACCATTATGTATTTTTCTCGTATGTGTATATGTCAAACGAAAACGTCCGTGCGGAAAACTTAGTAAGTCATATAAGGATTAGACATCATAAAATCAAATCTAAAAGGATATCAAAAATGTATTAGATATAAATATTTTCCGTTGTAAACCATCTAGAGGAAAACATTTATATTCATACGTCTTTATGGAGAAATATATATATATATATATATATATATATATATATACACACGAGTATGAATGAATGCAAGATGATCATGTTTTATGCAGCACTATATATGTCTTCAAACTTTTTTTATCTCAAAATTGTTATATTTATAAAATACATGAATACTACATATTGTGACAAATAATTGATGATATACACCGCTACAAATCACATTGTAGTTATTGAATGTATTCATCGACATAAGCATTTAGAATGAAAGTAAAATGAGTATCAAAAGAAAAAAATGAATAATTTTTTTTGCTATTATTATGTCACATCCCCAAATTTCATGGTCAGAAAAGACCGATTTGTTTATGCTTTATTTGAAAATCAGAGTATATTTTTAAATAAATATATTACGGAATTTGTTTCCAGAAAAACATGATAAATATATTATCAAAGCATTTCCGAAGAAATGTATTTTGTTCATATTAAAACTTTGGGATGTCATCGTCAATACTGAAACATAAGTATAAACAGACCTTACATTTATTTACACTAGTGATCTACATCTTCTTTAATCTCTCAGTGTAAAGTAACTTCGTATCGATACCTGTGATACAAATAGACTGGGTGGGTCAGGTTGGGAAACCTGGTGAGTACATAGGGTTTTCAACCCACAATAATATAATTATTACATTTAATCATCAAACAATCAACTCAATTACCCATCCCCATTATCTTCTTTAATCTTAAGGATCTACCCTAAGAATCATCTATCCTTCATTCCTAAGGATTGACCTAAGGAATAGGCACGAAGTCCATCGCTGCCCGAGGTTTATACAACAAGTACTAAATCCATAGATGCCAAGGTATTAAGTCCATAGCTACCATTGTTCATCTATACGGTACTAAATCCATAACTACCAACGTACATATATAAGGCACTAAGTCCATAGCTGTGAGGGTTCTTAAATTACAACTGGTGAACACATAGTTCAAAACATCTTGTAAACACGTAGTTCAAATATACCTGGTAAACACATAGTTCAAAACATCTAGTGAACACACAGTTCAAAATTACTTAATGAACACCTAGTTCTAAAATGCCTAGTGAACACTTAGTTCAAAAATACTTAATCCATACTTCCGGATCTAAAACTAACCTCTTTACCTGATCCATACTCCCGGATCTGGTATGTCTGATCCATACTCCCGGATTAATAACTGTGCCCATTCCATCCTCTCGGACTAGGGACAATTAACTATGTCTTAATCCGTACTCCCGAATCAATAACAAAGAACTATGTCTATACTCTGCTAGATGACTAGATCATTATTAACATCGAGACCTCTCATCAATTTTTATTTCATCACACATCATCTAATTCATCTACTCATGTTTTACCCAACATATTTGTAGATATAAAATACATATACAGTTTAAATCAATAAAAACATGTATAAAATTATTCATCCATCATAGATAGCAAGTATACATATAATATGCACACATAGCACGTAATTTATATAAAATACTTAAATTTATGTGTAA